CTTACCCTGGCGAAGCTAACCTGTCCAAAAGGGCCCTATCAACAGCTTATTCCACCGACGATGTGAATTTCGCGGGTAACCACACTCTTTGATCCGTTTATATCTTGTTTCGTTTCACGAAACCCCTAAAACAATGTTTAAGCGTGATGTTGACGGCTGCCTCTCTCAGAGAGAGAGTGACTAATTTTTAGCTGGATAGAGCTGTTCCCGACACCTAGTTTCATGAATAGGACATTATTTCGACCCTAGTTTTGCATCAGTTTTGCTTTCACGGACTTGAGTACGTTGAAGATCACGTAGAGATTCCACTCCCCATAACAAATGTGTAATTTGAGACACTAAACAAGCGTCCAGGGGGGCGTCTGCGTCCAAACAAACTTGTGGATCACGGGCAGAGTAACTTTTGTACCCGTTGGCTGCGAGTAAACATCATTAGTATTATCATCGTTCAGAGGCAGGTCTAGCCTGTCATTGGTGGATGCATCGTGCGGTTTATAACTAGTGTTCCCATCTAGGTGTCGATGCGAATACTGTCACTAAACATTGCGCTACTTACTTGACTGACGCAATTGGCAGTTCGTTTATGGCCTCACTCACATTATGAAACGCGAACATATATAAATTTTGGGGGCATAATCTGCTAAGTCGCTGATGTTTTGTGCTGACTTATATCGCGGAACACAAATGGAAAATTGTCTATGTAAAATCGTTGGACACTGAGCAACAATGAAGTCCCTCCAACCTGAAGGATCCTCTTGAATTCTAGGGCATCGGATTTGGATTTGCAATAGCTTTCTTCCACGCGCTTAGATTGTTTGTGTTAATTTGTAAACAGCTCAACCATCTTTATTTCAATATCTGGTCCAATATCTAGTCAAGATGTGAAGAATCAGGAAATCAATGCAGCAGAAGACAAAAGTTTCAGGAATAAATTAGCATGTCGTGAAAAACCACGTAATTTGAATTGATACAGTGTGGTGTAAGCGCGTATAGGGGCTCTGCGTGCTTCAAATGCAGTTTTTTATGGATGAGAAAACCTGTCTGGGTAACATGTCGTGACTATTTCAATACCTAGTGGATGGTGTTCCCTTAAGAATTGTGCAATCACGAGCGTCACATTTGCACACACACCTTCCATCAGTGTGCAGACAGTAAGGACGCATCGTCAACATAGGTCACTGGAGAAAACAGAATGGAGTACAATCTATTTCTTGTGTTATATGTTCGCATTCTAGTTACAAAAGTTGGACCACCGCTGGACGGAGCGCGAAGGCACTCTTTTTACAGACGTTTTGCCGCACATGTCTGATAGTTTGATAGCACACCGGCAACCATTCCATTGTTTCTCTCGACCGTTCCCTCTCGCCTACTCATTCCAATAAATGCGAATGCGACGAAATCCGCACATATCCCCAGCTGCCCCCATTACGTATTCACTCCAACCTGTTATTATATTAGTTTGAATTCAACCACCTCTTAGTTTATGCGTTTCCCACAAAATTCAATAACTTTCTATAGAGTTCGTGCTCCAGCTTGCGCATTTCCATCATCTCACTCTTCCAAAGACATATTATGCCTGACTCCAAAACGGCGCTACCGGTGAGGCCCTACAGTTTCTCTGCACACCATGTTTCTTGTTTGTAACCCCAGCCATGAGTCCGTTAGCCCAATCCCAGAAGGTTAATGTTGGTTTTAGGTTTCAGTTCAACCTGACCGGCTCCCCGACGGCAACCCTCCTGCTCCATCCAATCTGACGTTTTGGTTCCTAAATTTTCACTTTTCCCTTCCCAAACCCCCTGTGCCCACAGTTCCCACCAGTCGTGCTTTTATTCTGACTTGCAACGTACCCGAAGGTATGCCACCCACAAGTTGGGAATAAGCATTATTATATCTTCGATCTACTGTTCTCACATGGAAGTCATCTGACAGCAGCCGCAGTTGGTCCATGATTCCCAGGAAGTGATTACTGCGTGGCTTCGTGCAACGCAGTTAGTTATGGCGCAACTACTCTAAGTCATTCTCTCTATCACCTGCTGTCTCCAGATACCTTACTAACTTTTCCATACTTGCCGGTCCCTCTGAACTGGGGAGAACTATTTCCTTCAACAATCGCACAAGGCATTACTAACATCTGCCAAATCATACTGACTTCCCTCTACCTCGCTTCTCCCATTAAAGGTTTCTACCATGGTATCTCTCGTCATGATAGGCCACTAAAAACATCGGATATTAAGTACACTGAGCTGGCAGATATTATCAGAAATCTCGGGATTGTTCACTAACACTCCCCAGCAGCAAACTCTCAGCTGGCCGAGTGTCCTTAGGGGGTTCGCCGAACTCCATAACGAGAGCACCCATCTCGAGATCCTTTCTCACTACAACTTACTCAGCTGTCTATTCCGAGGGCTCTGTACCCCTACACAGTCACTCAGTCACGGTTACTCTGTGTTCCACCGACTGATGTTTTATCACCGACCAACTGAACGCTTACTTATTTAGCTGCTACTTGCCCAATTTGCCTAGACTCAACCTCACATTCCCCATCGCACATTTTGCATCTTCACAATACAGAAACCACCCGTCTCTTAGCAACGTACCCATCACCCTAGCTGATGCATCATCCCATCCTCATACTCTCGAGTACTTCGTCGTGCCGAGTGGCAACAACATACCATCTCGTGTCCTGAGAAATGGCGGTCAACCTTTCGAAGCCGTTGACCTAAATCATTTTAATCCCTCAATCAACTCAGGGCATGTTCCCTCTCAGCGGAAACCATCTGTTAACAACCCTCACTTGAAATCCGGATCTAGGCAAACCACTTCCAACTATAGAAGGTTCCGTCCTACCCCCTATTAAGGCGAGCCTTTGAACCTGTAGTTAAGAGCCTGGTAACTAGGCTCCTCCTAGCTGCAAATACCATTGATGAAACACGTTATGGATTCCTGTGTCAGAGACCTGTCAAGTGTTGCTAGCTTCTGATGGGGTCGGAGTGGTAGTGTGGCGCATCGTTTCATACACATTCGGAGTTATATTAGTTTTGATTGTAGTGTGACAGATGAGGTCAACGCATAAACCTGCAATGCCCGGGTCGCATTTGCTACTGTGAAACACCTACGGCACCAGGAGGTATACCCGTGAATATCAAGTAACATGTGTATTGGGCTGTGGTACCGGCTGTTCTGCTGTATGGCTGTGTGACCTAGCCTGTTTGAGAAGCGGTAGCAAGGTGTTTTCAGGTGTTTGACAAGGATTGTCTCTAAACCATAGCTCATGTGTGTCGATGTCGGAAAGTCCGTAAGGCGACGGTTAGGTAACGATTTTACGGTTATGCGCCGGGGATTTCCAATGATAAATGTTTCTTCGAAGTTTCCAGCTAGATCATCATCGTTATCTGAGACAGCTGAATCGCATCGGGTTTGGTTATATTACAAGCGCATTTATTCGAATATAGTCGATATGATTTCAGAAGTGAAGATGGATTGCGATACTTCGACATGAACGATGTGTTGGATGAGGCCTAAAAGGGTGCCGAGAACAGGATGATCAAACGTGTTTTTTACGTCTGGCTGAAACAGTAGACAGAGGTTTTGCACATCAGTGCTAGTTGTGAGCATCGTGAGGCTTCTTCGAGCCATCCATTCATCGAAAATGTCAGTCGAAATAACACTTTAACCCCGCGTGTCTTTCGTGGCCTTGCCAGATAAGTGACAAAACCTGGACAATTTCCAAACAGCAGACAATGAAACTTAACAACGCTACATTTTCGTGAAGTTCCTTGATTAAAGTCTAGTCTCAGAACTACCAGCGTTGGATGAAGCACCCACGCTCCTAGAGGGGTGACGGATAAACGGAATCAGCACAGCGCAACACAAAAGGGTGACCCGCCCTGCAGGACATAACCAACCACTAATGCAGGGTTTCAGTCCCCGTATACGTCACGGGACCTGCGAGCTGGTTAACCATTAAGCTGTCTTAACTGCATCCTTTGTCAAATACTTTATCCGGTTGGGAGTAAAACAAGGCCGGTAAAGCAGCTCAGTCATTGCATTGAAAATCTGACTTGTTTCTCTGCGGGCATGTTCGTCGTTGAATGTCCATTATCGGGAAAGACCGTCCAAGCCTCCTCGTAAGTTGAGATTCTTCCAAGTGTTTTAAGGACTATAAATGTGCTAGCACTGTTCTTGAACTGGGTTTCTCTTTGATCAGAGCCAAGTACGCAGTGAAAACATCTATCAGCTAAGGAAAATAGGGTGTGGAGAAGGAACGCGTGAATGGGCTGGCAAAATTGCATATGTGAGTTTATTCACTGTCCACGCAGTGTCAGGAGCATGGTGCCAGATGGAGGGCAATGACGGCCAGGAAACTATAATGACCACGTCTCCGTGTGTATGCAAAGTAGTATCTCAATAATCTCTTGGAAGCTGCCTTTGGGTAAACTTCTAACAGCGACCAACACTATCGATTACTTCCATACAACCTTGAGGGTAATAAAGCGTTTATAAATTAAAAGGAAATAGGAAGTGCTGTAGTGTACGGTGTGTGTCATTTTGATTGATTCATATGTAAGTGTTGGTGATGTACAATCTTACTTGCTGGGCTTTGGCTCACGAGCATTATTTCTGTTTTCCATCCACAGAAATTGTCGTGAACACCTGCCTTCGGAGAATCACCGTACCCTGGTGCTTCCATAGCGTGCATGTTACAGTGCAGACAATGACAGTATTGTCTCAGCTGAGTCTTCGGCTTGAAGCTTACAAGCTAGCGATCTCGTTCAAAATACTACCGAAGGTGCACAACGTAAATTAAACACCCAAATACAGGCCAGGAAAACTTGAAGAGCACGTTACATGTGAAGTGTAAGAGGTTAAAAATTGTGGAAATTCCAGTGCCTTATGGAAGCGCAAATCACAACAGGCATTCAACAGATAATGGCCCATGTTTGACTGTTGGGTCCACATTCCTGGCCAATCAGGGTTCGCCTTGATTTTAGACAGAAAAGCGGCCCGTACTTTTGGCTAATCGCGTGTGAAGCAGGAATCCCGACCGTAGCGGCTCCTAAGTGCGAGCTGTAAAGTGGCCTCGCTGCAGGATTCCGCCCAACAGGGTAAGACCCCAGACTAAGAAGGTCATGCATCTTTCGGTCGGAATTCTGGAATATTTTGACTTATCCTTGCACAAGGGCTTTTATTCCACACAGCCGTATCCCTGCTTGGTCCCGACGAATATTTCAACATCGGTGGCTTGGAAATTAGAACAACTCCTTGGTAGGCCGTGGTTTAACGTGCCAAGTACTTTCAACAACTACCATAATACAATAAACTCCGATGATCAAAGGATTCTTTTTCATTCTTGTGTGTCCACTTACCTTTTCGTAGAGTACTCATCATCATCGACAGCATAACAAAAATGTTCAACATTGACGCTTCGCTGCCGTGCAGTCATGATTTACCTGAAAACCTTATTGCGAAGGAAAATGGACTCAGAGCTAGCCTATAAACCATCATTCCTACGTGCCCTTACCTCTAGATATGTCAAAGTGAGTACACTCACTCCGGCAATCTTTATATAAAGTGACAACATGAACGCCTGTGAAATAGATTGACATCCATATCTTCCAGGGTGTCCACCCAGGTACAGTAGTAATTACGCGGTCCCCATGGTGGAAGTCGAGCCGCATCAACCAAACCGAGACTTTCCCGAATAACCTTCATTCCTCTTCGAAAATGTTTGGTGACAATCGGTAGATTTATTTCTGGGCAACGTTTCGCTTTTGACACAAGGTTTTGAGGTTGGTCGAGATTTAAGGCGGAAGGAGAACCAATCAGCTAAGTCAAGCTAAATCTCTTTTGGGTGTCGGCCGGGGGATTTTAGTGTGTTAGAGTGGTTGAACAGGTGTTGGGTCGGTGGGGAAACCTACATGTGTTTGGGTCCAGCTTAGTGTCTGGTTCTTCTGGTTCGGTTCATTTGATGGTTCCTCTTGAACTTCGTTTGAACCCTCTGTCAGTCTGTGTAGGTGAGCTAGTGCTCAGAAAGTTGTGTAAGAGGGATACTGTGATCTTTGGTCGGCTGGGGTTTCCATCCCCATCCCCCGGTTTTTTCTAATGATTGACGATTTCACCGTCACGTGTTAACTCGCTTGTCTAAGACCGCTTTCCATACGCTCGCTAGCTCCACACCCTCGATTCTATTCACGCTGTGATGTTTGGTGATTTCCACCGCCTCGGCTATCAGCCACTGTGGTGTGAACCGCAGTCCCTGTCTTGAAACTTCCACATTCTCCAGATCTATTCTCTTTCCCGTGTCTAAGGCATGTACCGCCATCACTGAGTCTTTGACCAGCGTTTGGCATTCCGCATTCCTTGGTGGTTTGTTAATCCTTCTTTTATGTTTACCAATTCTGGTGTGCAATTCCCTGGCAGTTTGCCCCATATAAACCTTAGCGCAATCGTCGCAGTTAATTCTGTACACACAATCCCTAGTCCTTTCAGCCGGCAGGGGATCTTTCAACTGCACCAAAACTGAGCGTAGCGTTTTTCCTTTCTGAAAAGCTACTCGAATGTTTGCTAAGTTCAACAACCTCCGAATAACCTCCGATGTTCCTGCTTTACATGGAATGACTGCTGTGCAAATCCATTCCTTACTGGGTCTAGATACTGAAGCCAATATCTTCCTTAGTTGACGCCTAATCAAAATCACTGGGTATCCTATTTCTAGAAGTTTGTTGGCAATCTCGATTTGAGCTGCCGTTCGGTCGATCTCTTCTGTACACAGCGCTCT